CCCCAAAACCCCAAAACCCCAAAACCCCAAAACCCCTAGTTTATATATTATATAGTTATTAAAGAATAAATACGTCTTCAAACTTAAGATTCTTGACCTTTTCAATTCTGAACCCAAGCCTGATGAACATATCCTTGACTCTATCAGGATTGGTGACTGGGTTGTTGATCTCAACTTCCTTAAGTGTCTTTCTGATCCTAGTCTTGGACATAGCTTTAGCGATGTATGGAAGGTATACCATCTTCTTGTCGCTGACTTTTAAGCTAAGTTTCTCCAAGGAGTAAAATTTCTTTTTAGAGATGCTAAAATTTTCATCGACGCCGGTTAAAGAGCATTCGTCGAATCAAAGTTTCCGAATCTCAGGAATATTGTCGAAGACGTTGCGGAGGTCCTCGTTATCGAAGTTTAGTCTGTAAAAGAATATACTACTATGTTCACTGTATCCCTTCCTCAAAATGGGGGCTAAAGATGCATTGAACTTTTTAACGTCGCATTGCTTACTCGCTCCGAAATATAGTTCGAGAATGTGCGAAGCCATTGTGTGGGAAAGGAACTTGTGAAGGTTCTGGAGCATTGTTTTATCCACCTTGTTGACATTTACAATACTTAGCTTTTTGATTTTGGGCATCTGGTATTCACCTCAGTTATAAAGGAACCTATTAATCTTTCTGTAGTTTCCTAAGTTCAAATCAAGGACATAATTGCTATCAATTTTGGCATTTTTGTCAATGGAGTACTTGTAAAGCAATTCTCTAATTTCCGGTGTGTTCGCAATGACTCTGTTCTTTTGGAACTTATCGCTTGGCTTAAGTTTATTTCCATTGATGAATTTGTCTATCTCAGTACGGACGCTCGGATATCTGTCCCTGAGTTTGTACAAGAAATCAACATGATTTTGAGCCTTTGCAGTCTGATTGTGGTAATCCTCCTTCAAAGCTGCCAGAACTGTGATAATTTTATAGTTCACAGGCTCTATGATAGGGTTCTTTGGGTCGATAGTAGGGGTCTTCATTGGGACTCTTATCATTGTAGTTACAGATTCTCCAATAGCTGGAATCTCAAAATCTTCATCGTGTTTTCTCCTTTTGATTGGCATAAAACTAGCTGTGGTTGTAGTAGTCTGCAAATGCGAGTTCCTCCTTCCCAACTTCTTAGTTGGAGTCGTACTCCCAGTGGAGGTGGTATTAGTAGTGCTGACACTGTTAGATAGATTATTCCTTGGCTTTCTGAAAGTTGTGAGCATTCTTTTGCTCCCTTTAGTTGTTTCAGGAACAATTCTTGTCTTATTCTCTTCAAGGTATCTTAGATCTCTTTCTTGTTTTGCCATAACTGATAAGGAAATGTCTTCTTCTTCGAGAGACTTAACTTTTTCCAGAATCTTAAAACTATAAGTCTCTGCAAGGAAAGGTCCGATAATGTTGTACACAATCTGAATATCCTTGTCAATAGCTGAAATTTGTTGTTGCAAGAATGCAAAAATATCAAAGTCAAGATGAGTCTTTGTGGTTCTCACCTTCTGCTCAAATTCGGTTAAGTTTCTGTTCAATTTTTCTTTAATTTTCTCGAGTTTATCCAACCTCTCCAATCCTAGCATCTCTTGAAATTCCCTACAGTCAACGATACAAAGGAGGACTTGGCATTTCATGACTTCTCTCTTGGTATTCTTAAGAGTGTTCTCGATATCAGTCCAGAAAAACTCGAGGTCTCTGTAATTACTCTTGTTCTTGGTTAGACTATAAACATGATCTTTGCACCTCAAATCCTTATGTCGATCGTCAATTTTAAACATTCTTTCAGCAAGTTTGGGGCAATCTCTTTCACTTCATTTCATGTTCATGAGGAGGGTATACAAGGAATTTTTGATGTTATTAATTTTCCAGTCGTTTATTTCAGGTCTTACTTCGATCTCTATAGTCAAATTATTTATAGTTCTCCAGGGATAATTGAGGATTCCAATGTTATTACCAACAGGATCTCACAATTTAAACAACTACTAATTAAAATGAGGAATTTCTTGGTGACTAATCAGTATCTGAAAAGTAAAATCAGATGGGGCTGTTTTTGATCAGAATAACTTACCATTCTTTTTCTTAGGCAGATATTCCATTGTTGGCCTCTTGAACATTTTATTATTATCAATATTACTAGTAAGGGATGGGGTTTTGGGGTTTTGGGGTTTTGGGGTTTTGGGG